CGTTGAGCACGTAGACGAGTGCTATAAACGTACAGCGAAATTTCTTGTGGGACCAAGAAACGAGCTCGGAGAGCTTTTCATTCGGCAAGCCCAGCTTCCGTAATGGCCGAGGACCCGATGATGTGGACGCGTAGCGATTGAGTTACCGCGTCACAGCGGGCCGAAGCCATACTCCACACGAGGGTCAATGACTGACCTTCAGCCGCCTTACGGACAGCTTCCAGCTGCCGCCTCTGTGCCTTGTCGAGGTCATTTGTGATGACACCACGTCCCTCAGGTGATGAGAGGTCGGACAACGGACATGGGGTCCGCAAGGCGCGAGCAGGGCTCGTCTTACGCCGCTCGTGCAGCTCGCCTTCCTCGTCATTTCACCCGGGGAAAGGAGTGTCAGACTCGTAGTCGACCACCTCCACACCTCTAACGAGGTCACTTGTCACTGATAGCGTGCGCGGAGCGCGACGCTCGGGCTCATCGAGCCTAGGATTTACATCCTTCGATACAGCGGACACACAGTCCGACATGGCACCGCGTGCGGAAGACGAAGTAAGGCTCTGCCCGTGAGCGCTGTCGGAACCGGCGAGACTTGGAGACCTTGGTGTCATTGACACAGAGCTCATTGAGCACGGAAGTCGTTTCGTTTTAACGCAGTGTCTAACGGACACGCAAGCCTCGTTGAAGCGATAATCGATTGGCACTGTAAATCTTAATGAAGGAGAGTGTAACGGGGTTACACATACTCTGGTAACAGGTGTGTGTGTGACACCAAATGGGCATGGTGCGACCACACCCAAACAAGAATACGGTGCGGGGCTGGATAGCCAGTAGTTATACATGTATCTAGATTTTACTATACATATTCAGGAAAATCTATGCATTTAAAATCAGACGGCTAAAAAAAATGAAGTCAGTCTCTGAATTTAAATGGAAGAGTTAATCGGCCTTGAGTTAAGGTTGTGATTACTCTTGGAGTAAGCGAATTGCTAAACTCGTACTTGTTCTAAGTATAGAACGAAAGGTCGATGACCTAACTCACGCTTCCTCTAAGCTCAAGCTACGGCAGCCCCGCTGCCGTACGTGTAACTTCGTTACAGATGATCATAGGGTCTCATTAGATTCCGATACTATCAGAAGTCTGCCCTTGAAGTATGGTCGGCACACTGGCAACGCAATGTTTTGAATGTTCATATTCTTTCTTGTGGTAAAATAAGCTACTTTCATGTATCATTGACGTATCAGTTGAATTCTCCGGCCATTTAATGAGCCTCTGTGCGTTTCCCGATTCATGGATAAAAGGCAAGCTTGATCATGTTTAACACTGACTAGACGAATGCGTCTGATCAATTTAAGGGGAATCTTGAATCACGTCAGCGAATGTGTCGAATGTCTACAAAGTCGTCAAGACACTTTTCAGCAACAGCAGCCGCTGTCGAAACATTTTTGAGCGATTCTCGTTTATGAACCGCATTTTCGAAGAAGATTGTCCTACTTGTAAAGCGCCGTTACTTCAAGCAATGTCAGACCAGCCTTAACGATGTGATTAGTTTCATTCAAGACCAGGGTATTTTCGCCAGCCAAGCACTTACCGGGTTGAAGTTGAATTCTAGGGCTGAGGTAGCGAAAGTTGAAGACAAGCTTCTCCTAAAAATCGCTAATGGTCTGAGCACTGTGGAGGCCTAACGAGACCAAGTCCGTAATGCGGAGGATATGTTACAATGCTTACGCACAAACTGATGACATTGTCCGGATGGTTCTGAAAAATCGCGGTCGACAGTCGGTCTCATCGGCACAGAGCTCTATAGACTTGAATAACAGCACAAATAACTGCTGAAAATTATAGATCGTCAGCAAAAGAATCCAGAATGCGCTGGGCTGCAAGAACGAATAGTCGGGATTCGCTGAAGCTTGGGGTACTCCAGGACTGTTGGACAGGTCTTTTGAGCTTTTTGACTTTTTTATGAACTTAGCCCGACATTCTCTAATACATGAAAGCGATTTTTCCGTCTTCAAATCGGAAAACAATTTTATCTTTCTCCTACGATTACCAACACAATTAAAATCCGCTATATATTGAAAAATTAGTAGGGAATCAACGTTTTATAACAAAATGCCTTATGTTTCGAATTTTGTTCTAGTCGCGCCCTTTATTTCGTTGAAAAAACATGGAACACAAGTAATCTTCTTTATATAGCCCACGACATTCGAGCGGTAAGATCCATGATATTCGACAGCCAGAAGTACCGGTATCCTTCACTAGAGTTTTGATCTGCATAATCAATCAATCAGCCATGGTCCTCAATACGTCGATGAAGCTTGGTGCGCGCAGCAAACGCTTTCTCTACGGTGTAATGTTCGCAAGTGGGTAGCACTACGTACTTTTCATCAATGTCATTCGTTTCTTCTGCAAGCTTTCTCACCGGTACTGAGCTTAGTAACTGGCACATATCGAGCACTTGCCGACAATGAAGTGCGCAATGTTTTTTGGAGGTATGAATGCTTTAGTAATTTTAAACCACGTTAACGAATTGCTGGTATAGGAACATGAAAATTCTGCTGATCATGGCCGTCGTGCTATCCGCCCTACTGCATGTGTTGCTGCTGCCCATCGAGTGGATTAGCCATCTCATCTTGAGCCCACAGACGGTGGACGCCAGTGTACGCGCTTTCCGCTACACGGCTGCGTCCACGATCCCATTCCTACTCATTGGCGTAAGTCGTCTTTTCAGAGTCAAAATGTTCGAAAAAGCTTTTTTTGCGGGACTCGCTACGCGCGACGTGAATCTCGTTAAGTCAATCCAAAAGGTAGCGGTGAGCATTAAATATGCAAAAACCAAATGTTCTGACATTTGTTGCTTTTAAACAGAAAAAAGGAATTCATCTGGACTGGGAATATGCTCGTCATCTACTTCGCTTTGGACTGCGACAAGTTGGATTTGGAATTGTGGCTATAATTGCAAAACCAGTCTTAGGCATATTAATTCCAGTCGCGCATTTTGGTTATCGGTATGCTTCAATTTCTACATTCGAGAAATATTGTTGCTTACGATATGTCTATACTTTATAGTATTCGACACATGGAGGTGGCTTTCCTTCTCCCACTTTTCTTAGCTTTTATTTTTCCCGCTACTCGTGAGGCAGCACTGCAGCTTGTGCATATGTGGCTCGACTCACGCGCGATGGTACGCGAGCTTTTTGATCCAATCATCTCTCGCATAAAGTCTGCAGCGATGGAAGGAGACCCTAACGTTAGCACCGACCTGCTCACTGACATGGAGATCGATAGTGAACAATACTACAGTCGTACTAATCAGCGGGACTGGCATCACAGCGGAAGTGACGCGGCTCGCTTGGGCTTTGGACTTGTCTTCTGTTACATGCTACAGGTTCCATTCCTTGGACCCTTTACTTGGTTTGTAGCCTTTGCTTCAGCTGGCCTGTTCGCCCCGGAGCTTGTTGATTTGCACGCATTTGGTGGCGCAAAGAAGAACATACAATGAATGCGCGGAAAGCTCTGCTACATGTATTAAAAGTCTATAATTATTTGTTAGCGAATGACTCCTTTGACATGAACTTTTTCTTAAATCCTTGAACAAACATTTCGCCTTCATTACACTCAGAGTGTGGTTCAGTCTCATGTCCTACATCACAATATTCGCATCAACAAAGTCACATTGATCTAAATAGAATTTTGTTAAATGATGATTACACATTCGTTTACATTTTCTCGCATCCGGCTGTTGCGAAGTTGTTGAGGTCGATAAATGGTATTGCAAAGTGCTTTAATGCTTGCGTTTGTTGAAAAATATTATTTTGCTTTTGAATTATCTTATATAAAAGCAGCAGTCGTATTGAACCGCTTGGATCCTGATTCGTCCTGCATTGTGTTAACATTCAACGAGATCGTTCCATTTATTCCGGAATTGGAGGGTGCGATGACCCTTCTTTTTGGCATAGTGGCTATAAGTAGTAGCCCTGCCATTCTCTGGGATTTTAGTTACAATTCCTCACGTTGTGTAAGTACTGCTATAAAAACGCGTAGATATCCATATTTGCTACTCTAGCGAATTAGTCAACTTTTGATGTAAGAAATGGGACGATCTGATATAGCTTGAGTATTG